ATTTTATTTATTTATTTGACAGAGAGACATAGCGAGAGAGGGAACATAAGCAGGGGGAGTGGGAAAGGGAGAAGCAGGCTTCCCGCCGAGGAGGGAGCCCGACGCGGGGCTCGATCCCAGGACCCTGGGATCATGACCCGAGCCAAAGGCAGACACTTAAGACTGAGCCACCCGGGTGCCCTGAATGTGAGCTGTGTTTTAGAGTACAGTGCTGTACCAGCGTCTGATGTCCCGAATCTGGTCACTGCACTGTGATTATGCAGGATGATGTTCTTGTCTAGGGCACGCTGCCCGCCACTAACCCTCAAGTGGTTAAGGGAAACTACTTTATTCCCTTGGAATCAGGAGCAGGAGAGGGAGGGCGGATGGTGAGCAAATGTGGCAAACTTAAGAATTTATGATTTGGGGCAAAGGGTATATGGGGTCTCTAGTAGTCGTTCAACCTGTTAGCTCCTCGAAGCTCTCAGGAGACTTTGCACACACTTCACTCACCCTTCCTACGCGTCTTCGGTGAGGGGTGGGGTGGAGGGAGGGTCCCATTGGCCCCCAGCACCCAGAGCGGAGGCTCCAAATACACGGGCGCACGGGGCAGTCTACACGCGAATCCGCTCAGATCTCACAGACGGTCACTCCTGAGGCCATCTCTTACCTTTTCGTCAGCCTCACACTGAATACACAGCCTTACCCTATGGCGCTAGCAAGGTCTTCCCAGTCTATCTCGTTAGTGTCCTCCACGTTTACCTCATACAATCTACAAGAAAAAATAAACACGAAGTTTTCAAGCACAAATCAGCACAACGGACACCTTCTCAGATTCACCCATGTGAAAAGCTTGGGGGCACCAGAACGTTCAGCCCCGTCCCAGTTCCCTCAGGCCCAGCGAAGTTGGCATGCCAGACCAAGGTTAGCCCAAGGTCATTAGCCATGTCACCACGGATTCTGCTGCTCAACATCGACTTTTTGACCAGAGAGAGAAACAGTTCCAACAGCATCGCTTTCTATTTCTCTACCTTTCGATGAGGTTGATTTTGGCCTGCAGAGCATTAACTCCGCGGTACACATCCCGACCATTCGTCATCCTCTTGGTTAGGATTTCCGTCCTGCGTTCAAAGAAACAAAGAATGTACTTTAAGACTTTCAGGGGTAAAGTCTGCACTGCCATTTCCTGCCCTTTTCTCACCTACATCACACCCCTACTGCGAACTAATTTCTAACTTGTGTGACTCATCACTGCTAACATTTACCACCAGGGAGTATGCCAATTTTTTTTTTTTAAGTGGGAAATGATAAATAAAACGACAGAAAGGTGGCACCTGGGTGGCTCAGTCATTAGGCGTCTGCCTTCGGCTCAGGTCATGATCCCAGGGTCCTGGGATTGAGCCCCGCATTGGGCTGCCTGCTCTGCGGGAAGCCTGCTTCTCCCTCTCCCACTCCCCCTGCTTGTGTTCCCTCTTTCACTGTGTCTCTCTATGTCAAATAAATAAACAAAACCTTTAAACAAACAAAAAAAAAAGTTGATGGTTACTGAAACTGGATGAGGGATACAAGTTCTAAATTTGTGTGTACGATGAAATTTCTGTAGTAGAAGTTATAAAAAGGAGAAGAGAATAAGCCCTTTAACAGGTGTTAAATGAAGCCGTAAACTCTCTTTTTGATTGTTTAGAAAACAGAGGGACATTGCTGTTGGGACACTGAGGGATCAGCTGTTGGAACACGAAGGGAGACTTAGTACAGTCATGACTCCTCTGAGGCCCACAGCTAATGGCTGAAGGGAAGGGTGACTGGAGCTCCTAACGAGAGCAGTGACCCAGCTAAAAATATTTTTTAAGTACTCATCTCAAATAGCAAAGTTTGTCACGATCTGATGGACAGATCGCTAGCTGTTACATTCTGGATAAGGGGGATCCATGATACACAGGTGAGGACGCTGTTTGTACCAGCAGCCAACTGTGTTCGTTCAAAATGCATCCTCTGGGGGCGCCTCTGGGGTGCAGTCAGTTAAGCACCCAACTCTTGGTTTCGGCTCAAGTCGTGATCTCAGGGTTGTGAGATCAAGCTCAGGATAGAGTCTGCTTTGGACTCTCTCTCACTCTCCCTCTGACCCCCCACCATGTTCTCTAATAAATCTTTAGGAAAAAAGTAAACTGCATCATCTGTGGTCATTTCAATTTACATGAAAGAAATCTACATTCAGGTTTTCAGTTTCCTGCTTTTCTCTTCAAGTTAAAAAGCAGTCTCTCTTACACGTTATCCGAATTATACCGATCCTGAAGCACGGCTGCTCTGCAGCATTTCCCTCTTTAAATACTGACCAGTGTTTAACAAACACTCCTTCTTTCAGTGTAAACTATAGCGGAAGAAAGGGCTCTGGTTCCTCCATGTTATATGCTTCATTCCCCAAAACATTATCTGTTCTGTGGAGTTTATGTCCCTGACTATAGTCTTCTATGAAAATAAACAGATAATTCTACAGCAGAATTGTAAGATAACAATAAATGGTATAATTTAAGAGTCTGCTTTTAATATAAAATATACCTAACCTGGATCTCACTCTTATTTGACACTGACGATGACCACACTCCTTTGCACATGACGTGTGGATCGTGAGCTGTGGGACCACCGCTCCAAGGGGTCCTGTAGCAGCTGAACACCCAGCTCAGAGACCCTCCAGGGCTCGGAAAAGCCACGTCAGGCAAAGAATGCGCAGCAAGATCAGGACTGAAAATGCTTCTGTGTGACTATGGTGTCTCAAGAAGTTCTATGGTGAGGGGCACCTGGGTGGCTCAGTCGTTAAGCGTCTGCCTTCGGCTCAGGTCATGATCCCAGGGTCCTGGGATCGAGCCCCACATCGGGCTCCCTGCTCCGCGGGAAGCCTGCTTCTCCCTCTCCCACTCCCCCTGCTTGTGTTCCCTCTCTGTGTCTCTCTCAAATAAATAAAATCTTAAAAAAAAAGAGAAGTTCTACAATGAATACAGCTGCCTGGCGTTAGTGAGGACAGAGGAGCCCCCGGACAAGACAGGCTCATGGGAAGGGCAAGCTCCTGCACATCACCGTGCTTGTGATCTCTCTCCCAGAGGGGAGTTTTGTGTTTTTTTATGTTGCAAAGAGAGAACTGTTTTGTTTTACTAAAGCCTTAGCAAGGGACAGAGTAAAGACACCAGAAGTCAATATTCAGTATTAAAAAGGTTCCAGTTCCTTTGGAGGAAACCACACGATGAATCAGGGTTAGTTAGGTGCTATCTGACATCGGATGTTGATACCAAAGTGGTTAGAACAGCTGGCCCGAGGTGATCATTTTTGACACGGAAGGCTTTGTACACGGTACTTATATAGGTCTCCTTCCGTTATAACCCCACTCATCTACCCACTCCAGTGATGTGTGTGGTACGGGGAGGGGGGAGGGAAATATCTCGTTGAAATTTATGTAAGAAATCTTAAAACTTACCACTTACTTTTACACTGCATCCAATTTCTGGTTTCTACTTTGGCTTCTACTTCTACCCAAGATATACCCTTGTAGAGTTTTTCCCTAACAATAGACAGGCAGCCTTCAGGGTTTTCTTGGAGTTTAGAATCCACCTCTTTTAACTCGTGGGGAGACATTTTCTTTAGAATCACTTCTTCGACAGCCTTGATTAGTTTCTGGGTTTCCGTCTTACTCCAAGCACCATGATTTCTTGCTGTAGACACAAAAGGATGATCTTATAGTTGCTAATCTATTTGTTTTCAAGCACAATATCAAAAACAAAATGACAATGATGGATACATGTCATTACATACTTGTCCAAACCCACAGCACATACACCACCAAAGGCGAGCCCTAATGTGAACTATGGACCCTGGAAGATGATGGACGTGCCAGTGTAGGGTCATGGACTGTAACAAAGGTCCCCACTCTGGGGGGGGCGGGTGCTGACAATGGCAGAGGCTGTATGTCAGGGCAGGGTGCATATGGGAGATCTCTACTTCCCTTTCCATTTTATTGTTGACCTCAAGCCACTCTAAAAAATAGTCTTAAGGGACATCTGGGTGGCTCAGTCAGTTAAGCGTCCAACTCATGATTTTGGCTCAGGTCACGATCTCAGGGTCATGAGATCCAGTCCTGCAATGGGCTCTGCGCTGAGTGTGGAGTCTGCTTGAGATTCTCTCTCTCCCTCTCCCTCTGCCCCTCCCCACCCGTTTGCCCACGCACTCTCGCTCTCAAAATAAATAAATAAAGCCTTAAAAAAAAAAAAGAAAAGAAAAGATAAACCAGGCACTTTTCAGAAGACAGAGGGCAACATCTTGATTACACAGACATACAACCATCAAACACAGCTACACGCAAATTAAAATGGAACCACTTCTTTTTTTTTTT